GTTGAATGAGTCATTGGAGATGACAAAACTTATCTCAATACTTTAAACTTATTAGCATTTAGCAATTTCTTTATAAAGTTTAAAATGTGTTCTTGTTTAATCTTCAGTTTGTACCTGTTCTGCTATTTAAAATTCATTTATATTATTATTCCAAGTATGTTTAGGCTAGATTTATTTTCTACAGTAATATTTTACCATGTGTTATTTTTTGATATTTTTGTAAGATGTGTAGTAAATAGTAAAAGTGATCTTTCCTTGCCGCATATTTTTGTAATTCATTGTTACACATGTTTGAGCTTAAGACATGTTTGAGCTTAAGTTTGGGGGCTTAAGTTTGGGGGGAAACAAAAAATGTTTCAAATTTAAACCATACCTGTTTTAAAAATACTACAAATAATTTTGTATTTTATTTCTAATGATTATTATTATGTGGAGTCACCTTAAGGATGTTAGGATTTTAAGTATAGAAATGAAGTAGGAAAACTTGGTTGATATTTTTAGTCAAAAGGGTGAACCTAGAGTTAAGGATATTTAGTGGAGAACTTAGGATAATGAATAACTATCTTTAGTAGAAAAAATTGTATTTTTTTGAAAAATTAAGGATTCTTAGTAAGGATTCTTAAAAATTAAGGATTCTTAGAATTTTTATTTTCAAACATTTAAGGCTCTTTTATAAAGTATTAAAAAAAACATCTTTTTAAGTGAAGGAAAGTAATAAGTTTTAACTTTAGAGGAGGATAGTGAAATTCAAATTATTTAAGGACTTCTCTAGATATAGTAATCCTCATATATAAAAAAAGAAAAAAAATAATGGATCAAAAAGATCCTGAAAAAAAAAATGCAAAAAAAGGAAAGTGAGGAGAAACTTGAGGAGATGTCCTAATTAAAAATTAGTTTCACTTGAGTCTTTCTAGAATAAAGAACTTAGAACAATCCTATGCTTGCTTTTTATACTTATATTAGTAAAATATTTTTAAGAGAGTTCTTAAGTTTAGAAAGTAAAAATCATAGTATCCAAAGTTTGAAAAATTTGCATATATTTCTGAATTAGATATGAAAACAAATTCCCAAGTTTGATGATAAATATTTTAGACCCTGGGCTAGTCTGATTCACTAGAAGTTCTTCTAATTTGATCTATCACTTTTTTAGAACAAAATTTTAGCAAATCTAAAGGATGACCCATTAACTCTAATCTACATAAATTATTTTAAAAATATAGTATTACTTGAGGACAAGTAATGTTTAAGTTTGAGTGATTTTGATGTGCCTAAAAATGTACTATTTTTATGCTATATTTTATATTGATATTGCACTTTAAATGTATGTTCGCTTGTGTTTTTTGTTTGTTGGTACATTAAATTGAAGAATTTGTAGCGATTGGAGCAAAAGGAACAAAAATGGACTAAAACGGAGCAAATCGAGTCGAATCAGGGCACATCGGAGCCATGGGGACCGAAACTGGACACTTAAGTGCCTGTGCCCGGCGCTTAGGCACCCAAACATGGCGCTTAGGTGCCTCCAGAGAGTGAGGAGGGCGCTTAAGAAATCAAAATCGGTGCTTTAGCGCCAAAAATGATTTTCAACATATCTTCTAGAATATACATTGGATTTGGACGATTTTTGAAGCCGTGTTTTGTGTGTCTCTTAGAGAGTTTGCTGGAAATGATAAAAGAGACTTTCTAGAAGGATTTAGGGCAGTTATATGGATGATTTTGAAGACTATGAAGTGTCACTTGAGACACCTTTTGGAAGATTTATTGCATATGGACACTTTTGAAGAGACACTTAAGAATCTCTTGAGAAATTATAAATAAGGCTTGGAAATATTCTTAAAATAACTCTTGGAATTTGGAAATAATTGAAAAAGGAGAAGAAGGATTGGGTGAAAAAAGGAGAAGAAGGATTGGAGAAGAAGAAGGCTTGGGCGAGAGCTCCAAGTGGGGCGACAAGGTGAGAGAGAAAGGGAGAGAGTGAGAGATTTCTTCTTTTCTTTTCACTTTGTTCTTGGAGAGGATTGTAAGGAGATTGCTTTTTCTATACAATGAGAGTTTGATTTCCATCAAAGATAAGTATTTTCATTGTATTTTAATTTGAATTTAGTACTTTATTTATATGGTTTCAAGGTCTTGTTCAATGAAAAGTTCTTGTTTTTTTCTCCATGTGTGGTGAGTAGTTTTCCTTACTCTTCCCCCTTATGATGAATTAATATGCATGTGTAGAATATAGAATTGAGTAGAGTGAGAATCTATTGTAATGTTTTTACTTTGTTCTTCATTTACATGTAAACTTGATCAACTTGCATGTTAAACTCTTTTGTGAGAACAAGTAAGATCCGTGATGGTGTTGTTTCAATCAACTGTAGTAAAATCACATGAGATTGTATGGATGAGAATGTAGTCTATATGGTTTAGTGCAATTAAATGGGGAAATAATCTTTGATGGGTATAGAATTAGAGGACTTTAGAGTGACAGGCTAAAATCTCCAATTTGGTTCTTAGTTTTAGGTCTTAATACTTTATGTTAGCCTTCAGGTGAGAGGATGAGGAGACACTAGAGTGAGAGCTAGTATCTCTCTTGCCTAACTGGTCTTTAGGATTCGTAAACTATGAATTAACCAATGTTCTTTACATTACTTGACTGAGGGTAAAAAATATAATTGCTCATATTTGTCACAATCTCACTAACTAATTATTTTACTTTTACTTATGTCACTAATTTCATTGCATGAGTAAGAATACTTTTAATATATTAAACTCCACTTTCTGATCTTCACTAAATATTTTAGTTTAGAAGCAGAAGTAATATTGTAGCGATAATTGTAAGATATAATCAAAACCAAACTTTTATCCACCTTTCAATCTAAAATGTGTTATTCTAGACTAGAACTTCTCATGAAAGTCGCCGTGATTAACCTCAATCTCCGTGGGATCGCTATTCGGCGCTTAATCAGAAAGCCCTATATTACTTGATAGCGATAAGTATACTTGCGTAGAATTCCTACTATTTATAAATATAATTGAAATCTTACTTTGCTTGGGATCAAGTTTTTGACGTCATTGCCAGAGATTAAAATATTCAAGCAGTGGTTCAACTTCATAAATCCTATCATATAAAAAATATTGGGATCAGGTCTCTAGTGCTAACACTTTCCCATGCCTCTAACCAAATGCCCTTGAGCCATAAGTTCCTTCAACTTCCCCGTTAGGTGTTGAGCTAGTCGGGTTTAGTGTGGGCCAGGCTTATTCGAGCTTTGATAAGTCAAAGCGAGCTCAGACCCGCTTGAACCCAGATTCTATTTATAATTTCATAGCTAAGCCTGCCCACTAAATGGGTCGGGTTGGCTCGTGGGTTGCCATGGGCTTTAAAAGAAAAGTGATTTTTCATACCAAAAAATAAATAAAATAATAAAATCATTAAGATTTTCTCTCGAATCATCTTGTCGATTTAAAATATTAAAAAAATATGTAATATGAACGTTTAAAACATGAAAGAATGTGTGACGAGAGTTTTAAATTTACTTTATATGTATGAATGTTTCTTATACTTTTAAGTGAATTTAATAGCAATTGCATAAAAAATGAAATACGTAACTCGTAAGATTTTAAAATAAGAACATCTCAATGTATAAATTCAAAGGAGTTAAGTAACATACCACAAAAAAAATAAAAATAAAAAATAAAAAAATAAAAAAAAATACATACATACTACTCATCAATTTCTATTTAATTACATATCCAACACCTACACTTCAACTTTTACATATTTGTCATCTTATAAATGCATGAAAGTTGTATTTCATTTTTTTTTTTTTAAATAAAAATGTGATATAAGAGATATGGTTGGTATTAAGATAAAATTAAAATTTATGGTTAGATAAGGAAGAGAAATGATGAGAAAATTGATTGCCTCCAAAACTTTCAATCGCGAATATATTTATGAGACAAGGCCGATGGGCAGACCGGGCTTGACGCGGGCCAGGCCCATTCAGGCTTTGACTAAATCAAAGCGGGTTTATGCCGAGTTGAGCCACAAAATTTTAATTTTTTTCATAGCCAAGCCAGCCCATTCTAAGCGCGTGCTTATGATGAGCCCATCAAGCAGTCCGACGAATGAACTAGTTTATTCCCAACCTTAACCAACTCGTCGGTGCCATCTCATGGGTGACCTATATTAACTACTATTCTTTGGTTATTCTTTTCCCTCTAAGGTCATTTTGTTCTTCTTGTTGACAATATGACTCCAAACTCAATGCATCTTTTAGGATGTTGAATCCAAGTCTGTTCGACAGACACACCCAAAGATTATAGCACTTGAGATCAAAAGAGAGGGTGAGGAAGAGAGAGAAAGCATAGTGTTGAACATTAAAATTACGTAATTTTTTATTCATAAAACGCCCCCCTATTTATAAGGATGAATCACTATACAATTATGTATTGTATCCTTAAGATCCGTAATATGTTGGAGATATTGCAAACTACTAATAAATATTACTCCCGAGTCCCATGGATGTGGTTGGGTGGCTATTAAGCCGGGTGGTAGTGAGGTTGGGTGCTGTCCATGCGGCTGCTTGCTGATGGTTCTCGTCAGTAGCTCCGGGACTAGAGGAGGCATTTTCATCTCCTTGGTCCATCCAGACTAGATAGGGGCTAGGTTCATCTGAGTGGAGGGATGATATATTCTTTATGTCTGAGCTCTACTATCTTCCCAGGATAACACATTTTTGATGTAGACTTGCTATTATTTGGTTAGCCATTGATCCTAAAAAGCCCATTCGAGTTTAGTCTGTTCACAAATATATTTTTAAAAACTTCTGAGCGGCACGAAAAAAATTTGCATATGCAAGTATTGCGTATACACAACGCTGCGCCCATCAGTAAATTAGAGGGAGGGCATTGGGATCACACCCTATTATACCCCTGTAATAACCTCGCTGTACCGCGCATATCTTTTCATATATGTCTGTAGGTATAATCCCTGAATACCTGTAACCTGACGTACGCAAATTTTTCTCGAGCGGCACAGCGGCTGTGAAGTTTTGCAGATATCGGCCTTTCTTCGGAGCTCAAGTTTTTTGTTCCTTGACGAGAGGTTCGAATGGAGGAAGACGGCGGAGCCGGCGATCGCTCAAGCTTCGTGATTGGTCTAATTGAGAATAGAGCAAAGGAGGTAAGCCTATTCTAATGATGCCCGCATTCATCTCCCATTTCTGCTTCAATCACTCTTTGCCACTGCATTTCGATTTTAATGGCGAATGGTAGCGGCGGTGTTATTTGCTTCTACGCCAAGGTGTTAATGTTGGGAGCTCTTGTTATGTGATTTTTCTTGCGATCTGCCGGGATCATTAGCTCAATGGTTGCTGTTTTCTTAATCACGCATATTTTTTTTGTCGTCGTCTGACGGTTAGGTGCATGTGTGAAGTCTCTGCTATTTTTTCGGTTTTTATTTTGTGATCTATGATAAGAATGAAAGGGAATAGTGACGCTTAGGCTTCATCTTAGAGGCGACTCTCACTAAAATCTATATTATTGAGTATCCTTCAGGTATATGTTTGCTTGTAGATGGTGCAATGTGGTAGGGGTTTCAGGGACTCTTTTGCAGAAGGATTTAAACAAGATATACGGTAAATCCTTCCAAACGGTATAACCATTATAACCATTATAAACCTACAATTTTATAGATCCTGTTTCAGTTCCATTTTGCACTAAATTCTGGATTTGCTGAATCAAGCAATTCTGACATGATCTGGTTAATACCTTGCCCGGCAAGCTTCCGTTGTGACTTCAGCCCATCTTTTTTGACGACTTTGGATAGCAGAGAAAGGGGTATGCATTTTCGATTTTTAATAATTAATTATAAGTTTTAAGGTTAATTAAATTAATATTATTTGTGATTTAAATTGATTAAATCAATTTTTTAATATTTAGTTTAATTACAGATTGTTATTAAATGATTAATTGATATGTTATATTTTACTTATTATAATTTAATCTGATTAGGATTGTTACAGACTAAGTTAATATAATTATAACATAGAGACATAAATTCTCAGATCCTGAAAAAAATAGCCAAATAGTTTATCTATATTCGAAAAGATTTAACATCCATCATTCCAAACAGTTTTCAAGATATAACTTGGAGATGATTTAGTAAATCTGAATCCGCTCTATCATGCTCGAGTTAAACTCAACTTGAAACCAAACAGCACTTTATCTTTTTCTGGGGAGTAGCTGAATAATGGTTTGGAGGTTTATTTTGCATGTTTTCTGTTAGCTCAGGCTTGGATGGCTTGTTTAGAGCTTATTTGTTTGTGTTTTTTTTTCTGGGGATGGTTTGTTTCGAGCTTATTTGTTTCTTGTGTCCATAACAAGTTTTTTGAAAACAAGTGAAAACACTTCATGTGGTTTTTCAAACTTACTATAATCATACTAATTTATTTTCAAAAACAAGAAATATAAATAACTGACCTAAAATATTTCCAAATGTACAACTAATTTTGAAAATAATTAAAAAAGAACAAGCAAAAAAACAAGGAATAAAACAATTAACATAAAAATGTCCTTTTTTTATTCATTTTTCATTTGAAATTGTATAATGGAATCTTCGCAATGATATAACACTTTACTTGTTCAATGTGCTGCATTAAATCTTGGGAATAGTATGTACTTCCACTGTGTTTGGTTTACTGAAAAACCTAAAAATGTTGCATGAAACAAATGATTTTGAAATGTTGGTAGAATTTGTGTAGATAATTTATCTCATCTCCAATGCCATGTTTTGCACACAATCAGCAAAGTAAGAGATCAACAAGTTAAACCATCAATTTTATTGTAGGTAAGGTAAGATTCATAGATGGCTTGAGATTAGTGTTATAGATGGTTTGAAATAGACAATCAGATTTATGCCGGAAGCCCAATATTGATATTGCTGTTAATTAATGTTTAGTTAAGCTGGATAAGAAGTTTGACATGAATATTAGTGGAATTTGTTGTTTAGAAGTTGGGTGACTCATTGAACATGGTTTTGTGGGGACCAAAGAAACATGAATTCTGATATCCCTTGATGCGGGTGTCTATATCCAGACCGGTTTGGTCCAAAGTTCCTGAGGGATGGCTAGCCCTTAGTCGTCTTGGGAGTGCTGCCCAACTGGAGTTGGGCCTACCCCTAGTTTTATCTAGGACTACATATGTTCTTTGTTAGTGTTTAGGGTTTAGTTTTTGTGTGATGTACTTTGGAACAGCCACCTACAACACTTTGTCCCTATGCGGGCTGTATTCTAGGGTTCCAAGTGGTGCTCCGGCGTTATCTTAGTTTTCAGGTGGTGTTTACTCTTCCTAAACATTTTTCTATTCTTTCACACATTGGCTCCCTTCACCCTCGCCGCTTTCCCTTTGTTGCCACACCCAGAAAACAGCGAGGCTATTGTTTTTCCTCTCCACCCTTGCTGCCACTACCCAGAAAATAGTGAGGCTGCTATTTTTCCCCCTGCCACCGCATAGAAAACACCAAAGCTGCTGTTTTTCCCCTCCTCTTCTGCTGCTGCCGCCCAGGACAGCCGCTGGATTGCTGTGCTCCTCCTCCTAGCTTTCTAGCCTCCTTTTTGCCACAACCCCGGAGGTCCACACCCCTAGCCGACATCACTTATGCCTTAAATCAAACCCTAGTTCTAGTTTTCTGCTATTATTTTGTTGCATTTTTCAATTTCTTTGCTGTTTGATGTAATTCCAAATTTTCAATTAAGTAATAATATCTATTTTTTCTTCAGTGTTTGTTAAATTTTGGTATCATTTGGCATCAGAGCAAGCCAAATCCCAGTTCCATCATAGGTGATGTAAACCCACCAAACCATAGCCAAATCTTGACCTAACCCTAATTCCCCTGGTTGATTTTCAAAATCAGCAACCCTAGTTTCCATAAGTCAGCTCTGTATACTTTTTTTCACCTCCAAAAACTAAACCCTAACTATGCAATCGATGAGACAAGTGTCAGAAAACTGATTGGGAACTTACCATGGAAGATATGCAGTGGGAAATCCGCCAACGTTATCAAAAACTAGCTGAAATTGAAAAATGGACTTATGGAGAGATAACCATCAATTGTGATAGTGAAATTTGAGGAGAGCGAGAGGAAAATTTGAATTCCTTCTTTAGGGATAATTTCAATGAAGAGGAGGATAGGCCACGACACTTTGAGATTCAATATCTTAGATATGGATATATGAGAGTTAATGTGGTCTTACCGGGTTTCTAGGGAGAATGAATCCATATGTCTTCATTGAGTTGTTGCAGACTGTGGCGAGGATTTTCGAGTATAAGGAGGTGCTAGTTGATAGGAGAGTAAAGTTTTTTGCCATAACATTGAAGAGTGCTTCTATTTGGTGGGGGAATCCGAAGACATTGAGGCAGAGAGGAGGTAGGAACAAGATCACTGCTTGAAGAAAGAGATGCAGAGAAAGTTTCTATCTCAAAACTACCACCATGGCATGTTTTTGAGGCTACATCAATTATATCAATGAGAGTTGTCAGTAGAGGAGTTCACAGTGGAGTTTGAGCAGCTCATGCTGAAATGTGAGCTAAGGGCTAGATGAGAAAACCATAGCTAGATATGTTGGAGGTTTGAAGTCAGCCATCAGATATGTCATTCAGTTGCAACCTTACTAGTCATTGAGTGATGTTTGGACATTTCCCCTAAAGGTGGAGAAATAGCAGAAGCAGATCAGGTCCCCGCCTTCATTTAGACAGTCGCTCACAGTAGCAAGAGCCAATAGGAGTTCACCCAAGGAAGGTGTGAAAACTGTCCAAAAAGATGATAGAATTGATCAGAGTGCCCGAGAGGGGCAGCATTCCCAACATAGTGGCCGCAAGTAAGTTTTTGAGATGGCACAAGTTCAATTACATCGCTTCCAGTTGCCCTACTACCAGCGCTCTCTTTCACCTAATAGGGAGTCGCAGAAGTAGACAATAATATTGGATTCATAGAAGCTAGCGAGGAGGTGCATGTAATGACTTTGTTGGGGTTTAAAATCAAATAAGACAGGAACAGATGGTCAAACAATAAAATTAAGCTTTCTATAATCCATTTATATTATTAACAGTTTCTTATCCAAATATTAATTGAAAGAAACACCAAAGAGAGCATTTTAATTAATAAATAGAAATTTACCTTTCAGTTTGCTGACCTCTTCTTTTGTAGATTTTATCTCCCCTAGTATTCTTCTATTTAAAAGCTTGAACTTAGAAAATTATTAAAATAAAATAATGAGTTATCTAAGATAGTCTGTTGGAGTAATTACACTTCTAAAATATAGTAACCTAAGGAAAAAGAAACAATTTGCATGCTGGTTTTTTATATTTTAAAAAATCATATAATAATCTAATCTATGTATTCATGATATTAACTCAATAAAAATAATCTAAACTTCCAATATGCAATAACTTTAACTTTAATTTTCAGGTTTAATCTTTAACTTTTTTTTTTCATAGTCTTAACTTTCACATCAATCTTAGAAGCATCGTCAAAACATAACCTAACACATTCTTGACTGGTACAATCCCATCAACATAGTGATTCATGATCTAATTTACATGATTGTCTGAGGTGAAAATGTACTTACTCACTCCTGGTCGATATTCTTCTGTCGGCACAACAGTTAGAGATCTAAATATCACAATTATTTGAGGTGGTAGAATAACATATACCTGTGCGGGTACACCAACATCCTTTGCCTACACCATAAAAAAGTGACTTCTCTTTGCATGCATATACAAACATTCATATATACACTATTTCATTCTTTATGTAATACATTTTTTTTATGAAATACTTCACCTCTATCTAATCATGAATAAATGTAATTTTACTAAATCTATTGGTCATGCAATAAATTGATATATGCACATAGACTGGAATCTACATATCATGTAATCATATAACCTCTTCTTAAGAAAACTATAATGCAATTATTTATACATAATTGTTAATATGCATGCTTTATACAAAACAAAATGGAGAATCAATTCTAATATATGCCTCAACGATATATAACAGAAAGTGTATAAAATTGGAATCAAAGTACATTTAAAAATAAGAAATATCACTGCAATTTGGAAACATAAGTACTCACATCAGTCCTAGACGATTTTCTTGCTCTTAGCGTCTGACACCTCGTT